TTTCCCTATGTTTTCTTTTAGTAGCTTAATAGTTTAGGGTCTTAAATATAAGCCTCTAATCCATTTTGGGTTTATTTTGGTATATGGTGAGAGGTACAGGTCTAGATTCATTCTTCTATATATGGATGTCCACTTTTCCCAGCACTGCTTATTGAAGAGGCTGTCCTTTCCCCAATGTATGTTCCTGTTGCCCTTGTCAAATATCAGTTGGCTGTAAGTATGTTGGTTGATTTCTGTGTTCTCCATTCTGTTCCATTGGTCTGAGTGTTTTTATGCCAGTACCATGCTGTTTTGGTTACGATAGCTTTGTAGTATAATTTGAAGACAGTAGTGTAATGCCTCTGGCTTTATTTATTTTGCTCAGGATTTCTTTGGCTATTTGTGGTCTTTTGTTGTTCCATATGAATGTTGGGATTGTTTTTTTCTATTTCTTTGAAGAATGTCATTGGTATTTTGATGGGGATTGCATTGAATATGTAGATCACTTTGGGTATTATAGAAATCTTCGGGCCGGCCCGGTGGCGCACTGCTACAGTGCGCCGCTTGGGAGCATGGTGGCGCTCCCGCCGAGGGTTCGGATCCCACATACAGACTGGTTCCCGCTCACTGGCTGAGCGAGGTGCGGGCGCAGCACCGAGGTTTGCGATCCCGTTGCCGGTCCTGGTCCAGTGCGGGCGTGACACTGAGGGTTGCAATCCGTTGCCGGACACACACAAAAAAAAGACAAAAAGGAAAAAAAGAAAAAAAGAAAAAGAAATCTTCACAATATTAATTCTTCCAATCCAAGAGCATGGAATGTCTTTCCATCTTTTTGAGTGTTCTTTAATTTCTTTCAGAAGTGATTTTCATTTCTCATTGTAGAGATCTTTCACCTCCTTGGTTAAATGATTCCTAGGTTTTTGTTTTGTTTGGTTTGGTTTGGTTTTGGTAACTGTTGTAAATGGGCTTGATTTCTTGATTTCTTTTTGCTAGTTCATTGTAGGAAGATGAAAAACCTACTTATTTTTGCATGCTGATTTTTTATCCTGCAACTTTACTGAAATCTTTTAGTAGCTGTAAGAGTTTAGTAGCTGGTAGAGTCTTTAGGCTTTTCTATATGAGATCATTTCATCTGCAAACAGGGACAGTATGGCCTCGTTTTTCCAATTTGGATGCCCTTTATTTCTTTCTCTTGCCTTATTACTCTGGCTAGTACTTCCAAAACTATGTTAAATAGGAGTGGTCAGAGTGGGCATCCTTCTGATATTAGACAAAGGCAACAAAAATCTACATTGGGGAAAAGATTGCCTCTTCAACAAGTGGTGCTGGGAAAACTGGATATCCATATGCAGAAGAATAAAACTAGCTATGCATCTCTCACCATACACTAAAATCAACTCAAAATGGATTAAAGACCTAGGTGTAAGACCCAAAACTGTAAAATTCCTAAGAGATAATGTAGGTGAAACACTTCGGCAGTTAGGTCAGGGCACAGGGTTTATGAACATGAGACCAAAAGCACAAGCAGCAAAAGAAAAAATAAACAAATGGGACTATATCAAATTAAAAGTTTCTGTACAGCAAAAGAAACAATCAACAGAGTGAAAAGACAACCTACACAGTGGGAGAAAATTTTTGCCAACTATGCATTGGACAAGGGACTAATATCCAGAATATACATAGAACTCAAGCAATTAGACAATAAAAAAATAAATGACCCAATTAAAAAAATGGGCAAAGGAGCTGAACAGACATTTTTCAAAGGAAGACATACGAATGGCCAACAGATACATGAAAAAATGCTCAACATCACTAGTCATCAGGGAAATGCAAATTAAAACCATACTGAGATACCACCTCACTCCAGTTAGACTGGCTATAATCAAAAAGATGGTGAATAACAAATGCTGGCGAGGGTGTGGAGAGAAGGGAACACTCCTACACTGTTGGCGGGACTGTGAATTTGTACAACCACTTTGGAAAACAATTTGGAGGTTTCTCAAACAACTACAGATAGAATCTTCCATACGAACCAGCAATCCCTCTTCTGGGTATATATCCAGAGAAATGGAAATCATCATGTAGAAGAGATATCTGCACTCCCATGTTTATTGCAGCTCTGTTTACAATAGCCAAGATATGGAACCAACCTAAACATCCATCAATAGATGATTGGATGAGGAAACTGTGGTATATATACACTATAGAATACTACTCTGCCATAAAAAAAGAATGAAATACTCCCATTTGCAACAACATGGATGAACCTGTAGAAACTTATGTTGAGTGAAACAAGCAAAGCACAGAGGGATAAATACCTCATGTGCTCACTCATATGTGGGAGCTGAGAGAGAAAGGAAGGCAGGAAAGAAAGACCAGAGTAGTGCCATGACCCACAGATGGAGGGAATATTCCTAGGGCTACAAATTGGAGTTGAGGGGAGAGGGGGAAGGGGAGGGAGGTTGGGGGATAATTGGGAGGAGACAAAGGGTACAAAAGTAATTTCTGGTAATGGATATGCCCCCAGTATGAATCTGGCCCCCACATCATGTGCAGGAGGGGGGACAATCAGCTTTGTATCCCATGAATATTTCTAATAAATAAATAAATAAAAAGAAAAAAAACATGATCCTAATTTGTTAATTTTACACAATCATATATGTCTCTATGTAAAACACATGAGTATTTACATACAAAAGTTTACAAATTTAAATGAAAATATTATCATTAATTATTTCTGGGTGGTAGGATTATGGGTACTTTTTTCTCTTCTTTCTTTTTTTATTATCTCCATTTTCCAATTTTGTTTATCTAATGTAAAAGTCACTAAAATGCAGTACAACATTGCAGTGATTAGCATCAGAAAGTGCAAAGGGGATGGAGAAAATGAATACTAAAGTGTTTGAGGGTGTCAAAAAGACTTCCCAGTACAAATGAGAGGAATGTGTGAGAGCAAAGCATGTTGCAAGATCTACAAATGGGCCTGTATATTCACTTGGGATGAAAGAGAGTCAATAATAAAAGGACTTTGGAATGACAGAGAAACAGAAGACAGGTTGTTTTAAAGCAAGGAAGTAAAAGGTACCTATAAAATCCAGGTAAATATCCAAGACTGACACAGAGCTTGGAGCAAGAACGAGAGAAAACACAGAGGTGCCAAAGGAACAGGGTAAGTCCATTGAAACATCTCTGCCTATCACTTCACCTAAGTCAATGGGATAAAGTGGGGCTGGCCTATCTGTACGGGTTCTCTGCTGCATTCCATTCTCTAGGCTGGAGAGATGAAGCCAATTGTTGACTCTGTGTAGGGACCAGTACCGAAATGAGGGAAAACAAAACTATGAAAGGAACAAAACATAAAAGAAATGAAACAGGAAAGGAATGGTAAAGTCAGTTGCTACGAAACAGGTAGAAGATACTTTGAGAAAAAATATCAAAAGCTAATGCTAAGAAAGTTGACAAAGTAGGTTCAAATGCATGCCATTCCATGAACATTAATCAGCAACAAGGAAGCAATGCCTCATGATGAATGTTGGAAGATAATGTGGCTACACAGGACTACATAGCACAGTAGAAATACGGTAGTACTTGGTATTGTAACACACTTTAAGGTGCTTCTTTCTGGCAAAAAAAAAAAATAGGTGAAGAGCACTCATTCTCACTAGTTCAGCATTTTTATTTGTGGAAGGTTACATAATATACTGGTATACCTATGGATGTACTGGGTGATTCTGTGGAAATAATTCAGTATTACGTTTCACCGTGTGCTCTAATGTATTCTCAAAGATACTGATTATCTTCACTCCGTTAAAAGTAAAGGTAATATGAAAGGCAGATAAAAAGAAACTAGAAAAAGTAAATTTTTCTAATTTTCATTTGAAATTATCTAGTCATAGAGTAAATTAGTGAGCTTTTCTCTTTTGAACTCATCAGACCTATTTTTTGATGTGCTTTTTGTGCTTAAAAATAATTGCAGTTGTTCTAATTTTCAGGAAAAAAGGCAATTGATGGTAAATATTGTACCAATTGTAAAGAGAAAAATCATACTAATATGCAGAATCTATGAAAAGAGTTTACCCATTGGTTTCCCTTTTCTTGTATTATTTACAGGATTATTCTCATTTTAACCAGATAATCAGCTATCCTCCCAATAATTTAAGCCATTTACACATTAAGTCATTTTGATATAATCTAAAAGGATCAGAACTGGCTCAGCTCTTTAATCTTTTATATAGATCCTGAACTTGATCCAGTAAAAATGCATTCTGAGAATAGCTGTAATCTTTATAGAGCTAGCTATTAACGATCTGAGTTCCATATGAAACATAGATTTTAATCCAGAAACTAGCAAATATGAAATGAGAAACCGTTCATAAATAAATGAACAGTCAAGTTTCAAGGTCAACTGATTAGCAACTTTAATTCTACCTGCAACCTTAATTCCCCTTTGCCATGTACCCTAACATATTCACAGGGTCCTGGATTAGCACATAGACATGTTTGGGAATGGAAGCATTATTCTGCCTACCACAGTCCCTTCCCTCTTTCTCCTGTCCTTCAGATGCAATGAATTCAGGGAAGGTAGATAAACAGATAGATTGACTGATTGATTGATTGATTGATTGATTGATTTTACAAAACCAAATAGAAATTGGAAAATAGATGTATTTCCATCTTTCCTTCATTTCCTTCAAATCGTATTATTCAGGGAAGGTAGATAAACAGATAGATTGACTGATTGATTGATTGATTGATTGATTGATTGATTGATTTTACAAAACCAAATAGAAATTGGAAAATAGATGTATTTCCATCTTTCCTTCATTTCCTTCAAATCGTATGATATACAGAATTCCAAAGTCAAATGATAATCACATTTCTATTAGTTGTCATTGCCTGGTATCTGCTCACTTGCCCTCTTTTGTTTGCATAAATAGTTAACATTTGACAAGGTTTTCTTTAGTTTCTTTTGTGAGTAAATGTATCACCTTGGTATGTTTTTTAATGCTTAGGATAAGACAATGTCATCCAAAACAACTCTCCCTGGAGTGCGTGAAACCATACCCAATCCTTACGCAACAAGCAGCTTTACAGCTCCTGGGTATCAACAACCTCTGGGTTTCATAAACCTAAGAAACCAAGCTCAGGGTAGTCAGCCTACATTCATCACATCTCCAGGAATCTTTGCTAGCAATCAGCTGGGCCCAGGAAATACACAAATGGTAAATCCAGCTACAGGAATAGCAGCAACAAACTTTAAAGAAGATGCAAAGGCACTAGGGGTAAGTCTATTTACTAACAGAATTTTAATTTTGCATTTGCAAGGTTTTCTTGTACCTATAAGTTATAGGTGGAGCGAATACCATCCAATTATTAAACGATTATTCTGGAAACTGTGTCTCTTTTAGGCAGAAATAATTAATATGCATGCACACTTTACCCTGTCTTCATTTTATTTTCAATTCAAGCAAGAATCTAACAGGTGACAGATGACACTCCCTAGCAGAATTCAGTAATATTGACATGATGGGAACACCACTACTTCTAGCTTGATCTCACTTCTGCAAAGGACTTTCTGGAAAATCTTAATCCTCTCTTTGTACAGGTTAAAAGTCTGGTATTAAGTAAAAATTAAATTTTAATCTCACATTAAAATTAATATCAACGGCTGCCTTAAAAGGGAAAGAACTTCAAATGGGCAGTGTGAGGAAGGCTGAGTGTGAATTATGAGACATTCCATGTGCTGTGCCTCTCTCACTGGTACCCTTGGAGATGCTATGACTTAACTGCCACCTAACTTCTACAAAGAGTACCTTGAACTGTATATCCACTGTTTTGTTTCAGCAGGCATTTTAAAATATCCCCTACTTATAGGTGAAGATTCCACCTGCCTAGATGGAATTGTTAGTCCCTCTGCTGTTTCTTCCAGGTACCTCATTCATACCACTAACACAATCCCTGTGTACAACTTCTCCACTAGAGCATTCAGTTACTTACACAGAGTACTCATTACACGCCAGAAACTCTTCTAGCTATCTTACTACCTATTTTGAGTATTCATACCACTAACACAATCCCTGTGTACAACTTCTCCACTAGAGCATTCAGTTACTTACATAGAGTACTCATTACACGCCAGAAACTCTTCTAGCTATCTTACTACCTATTTTGAGATTCAGTGGTTTAGGAAAGTAAAAATGAGCATCAGTTCCCCTCCAGCAGCTGTGGAGGCAGCCCCTCAATCCTCCTCCTGCCAGATAGAGGAAATTCTCTGCTCCTATTGAGCCAATGGGACAAACCAGCCCCCCACACAGCTGACCCCACACAGGTGTCAGAAATATTGTGTTGTAGAGCACAAAGCAGGCACAACCTCTGCCCTCATGGAGATTACAATCTAGCAGGGGAAATCAGACTACATATATAACAAAAGAAGTAGAATAAATAGTGTGTTAGAAAGTGATAAATGATACAGAGAGAATAAAACAGTGGGAAAAGGATAAAAAGTACCAGGCAGTGAGGGAGTAGCAATTTCAAATAGGTCAGAGTGGGCCTTTCTTAGAACATGACACTTGAGCAAAGACATGAAGTCGGGAATGAACCATGCAGATATCAGGGCAAGAGAGAAATCCAGTGCAAAGGTCTTTAGTTGAAAGTGTGTGATATATTTGAAGAACAGGGAGGAGGACAATAAAGTAGAACAGAATGAGTGATGGAGGGATTAGTTGGAAGGAGGGCGGAAGAGCGGGAGAGGCCAGAGGCCAGACCCAGTGAGGCTGCTTTTTTCTGAGTAAATGAGGAGCCATTCTGCCTGGTACTGAAGAGGCACACCATAAAAATACCTTGTAAGGATAAGTGAAGTTTTGTTTCTAAAAATCTCCACATGGCAGCAGCTATTCCACTCCCCGATGATTGTCCATCTCTTAGCAGCCCCCAGTCGCCACAGCAGTGCAGGGGTCACAAGCAGTAGGTTGTGGAGCAAATGTAACAATCAACTTGGAATTTGAAGTGCTTCTGTGACCGAAAGTGCAGAATAAATTACATGTTCAAATGTTTAAGTCCATCCTATTGAGATATAATGTCTCACAAGCCTGAAAATGTAGAAGTAATTTTAAAATTTCTGTTTTCTTTTTTCAGGGGATCCAGATTGTGATTGGATCAATGCACATTGGTTTCGGAATTATTTTGGGTTTAATGAGCTACTCTGCTGATCAAAATTTGGGTTTTGCCTCCATTTCTTTTATTGGTGGATACCCATTCTGGGGTGGC